AGCATTGATCACATAACCTAACATTTTGTTAATTGTAATGTCTGCTGGGCACCTTTACCAAGATTTGCCACGTGATCTTGGCATGACTCCTTTCATCAAGCAGTACATCATTAAAATTTGTGCTACTCACACAGGAAGACATACTTAGATACAAAATGTTGCAAGGAACAAAGTAAATTCCTTTCAGACAAATCTACCTAAGATATGAGGCTGCCAAGACCTCTTCATTGCTTAAGTATTTTTGAATTTTCTTCTTACAGCAAAGATCTTGAAGTGGTGTGACTCCATAGTAGTGCTCATGGGAGTTGTAAAGGCAGAGTTGAGTGTCATTCAGTTCTTTTTGCTCTCTTCTACTGTGTGATACTTCTTACAAATAACATACTTTATGCCCCAAAGGCGTTAACTAATCTTCTAGGCTTTCCTTTGTATATTCAGGCTCTCATTGTTTCATGTGTGTTTCTGTATGTGGCCAACCAGTTTCTTTCCTAAGCTACACCTCTATGACTGTTGTGTATTCCTTTATTGCTAATGAGAATTACATAGTTCATCTACAGCTATCCCCGGATAGTACAGCTCATGCAGACTCCCATCTCTCCAAGACCAACTCAACCCCAGAACTGGCTTTCTTGAAGTAGTAGCATAACAGAGAGGGAATGGGAAGAAATTTTTTATTTGTTAACACAGCTCTGCCTTTTTCCTTTTTTTTCCTTACAAAATGCTTTCTAAAGCTCCCCTCCATTATTATTTTATTAGATTTATGAGGTTCAGGTACATCAGCATGTCTGAATTTCAAAGCAGAGAGCTCGCCACTTCAGAATTCTTGCTGGTCTTTCTCTTTAAAGCAGTAAGAATTTACAGAGTGAATGTGGGGCATGGAGGGTGTAAGTGCCTTGATCTGTGTAAGTAGGGCTCAGACCACAATAAGTTTTGTAAGTCAGAAATTGTCCAAACGTATTTCACATGGCAGTAAATTGGTATCGTCAGCACTGCAGACAATCCCTTCCTTGTTTGTCTTCAGAAAATGAGAG